GCTGGAGTATTTAAATGCCCATTACTGTATTAATTCGTTGAGGGCTGCTCCCAGGAGACATTAATTCCCTGGTGCTTCTGACCTGCCATGCAGGTTGGAGAGGAGAGTAGGCTCCAGGGCCAGAGAAAGTGCCCGCAGACTCCAGTGCTAGCAGCTGGACAAAGGCCACTGTGCCGTAAAACAGAGAAGAAAGGCCCAGGGGCCAAGGGTGGGGCCTCCCCAGCTTCTACCCCAGTGAGTGTGCATGGTGAACAAGCCCAGTGTCTGGAAGGGTGGGCAGGCGCATGGGCATATATAGCCAGGTACGGGGATAAAGCAATATGCCCAAGGAAGGATGGACCCAGGGCTATGGTGGATGGGGCTGGCTAAGACTGGTCACATGGAGACTGAACAGTGCTGGGCAGCAGGCCTGGTGCAACCCTCAGGACCCTTAAAGCATGGGCCAAACATTTCCAAACAGAGAGTCCTGTCTCAGCCAAGCAGAGATGTCCCCTCAGTCCCTGATTAAATGTGGAATGTGGCAAGAAAATGTATCGAGTGAGAGTTTTGCATTTTGCGTGTTCAAGGTTGTGTTTCTGCAGAGACGTAGCAGGGATGTGTGACCTCAGGAGAGGGACATCACCTCTCCTGGTCTCAGTTTCCTTGTCTGTAATAAGATGTTGTTCCCAGAAGCACCTACTGCATAGGCTTGACATAAGGATGCAATTAGGTGATGTGCTGTGATGCCTAGAAGTCCCCTAATAAATATTACCTGTTATTATTGTTTTTTTCAACAATATTTTTTGAGCATGGTACACATTGCTAGGCCCTGGGGGCACAGCGTTTATCCAAGAGACACAGTTCCTACCCCACTCTTATGCTGCCTACGGCCTCATGGACGTGCTAAAATGCTTTATATAGAATGTTAAAGAAAGCAGGATAGGAAATTATGCATAAAGCATGAGTCTAATTTTGTTTAAACACACACACTCACAAAGGCCCGAGGGATATACACTAACATGCAACGACAGTTAACACTAGATGGTGGAATTGAAAGTGGCTTGCATTTTTACAATTCTTTTCTGGTTTTTGTCTTTTAAAATTTCACAGTGGGTTGTATTATCTGAATAGTCATTTTCTGAAAAGAAACGAAAACAAATATGCTTCTTTCTCTGACTCCCTGTCCCTCACAAATCTCATCTGCTTCTAAAGGAAGCCCATTAGCGAGGCACTTGGTGGTACTTCCCAGGGTCCCAGGACCTGACCTTTCCTCCACTTTGGTGCACTTTTAGGAATGGGCTGGGGGCCACCATGAGAGCCACAAGCCTGTATCAGTGAGTGGAGAGTGGGGGTTGAATTCCCCATCCTCCTGCCCTCAGGGTCTGAGGACAGTGGTCTGTGCTTGTCTGTCTACCTGTGACAGGTGAGGCAAGGTGTCCAGTGCTGAGGGTGGGTGCTGACACCTCCATCTGCCCGCAGGCCCAGTTCACATTTGCTCATCTCTCGCCTAATGTGTCTCCTTCTATTGATCCTGAACTTAAGCGAGGGAAAAATAAAAGTCATGTCGACAGCACAGAATCACCTGGTTCCTAGAAATTTCCTTCTAATAAGGATATTAATTAGCTACTGATTTTTCTCAAATTTCCTGTCCACTTTTACGTCTAGGACACTGTGATAGGCTCAGGGCTCTTGGAAAGTTCTAGTAAGGTCCTTTTTAGTGGACTTGTTGGTATTATCTGTCTGGGTCCCTTTTTGAAAAAATGAGACCTCACCCGTACCATGCAGGCTTCCATCAAGATCACCCAAACAAGGGTGGTCACAGGTCCCAAGCAGGACCTAAGTGATTTTCTGGGCTTGATATACAGACATACACGTGAATATACAACGTGTGAGGAAAGGAACCCTCTCTTCTGCCAGGCTACTGACTTTGGGGCACATGGGCCTGGGCCCACCTGTGAGTGGCCATCTTCCTTACCACACTCTGAGAGCCTGCTTGTAGGGTAAGGCCAAGCCAAAGAGATGAGTGTGTTGAGTCTCTCTGTCCAGCCATTCCTGAAAACACCTTTCTCAATCAGAGCCAAAACATTCATTTTTTTTTTTCGTAAGTGAATTCAAATTGGGCTTTTATTATTATCAATTGACTCCAAAAAAATCTTGATTAGCATCATGGAGTGGACATCTATTAATTAGAAGCTGGTGACCACCTCCCCAAACTCCTCGTTCCCTTCCTAACCATCCTCATTGTTTAGGAAAATTGTCTCTCCAACATTGAAAATATCTCGAGGAATGTCCAGGTGCTGACACCACACCTCCTTCACTCCTAGATCTCTTGATCCTCAAACAGAGTGGGTGAGTTGGTCATAAGTCCTTTACAAGCCTGCCCTCCTGCCTGGCCCCTCCACACTCTGCCCTTTCCTCTCCTCTGCTGGGATGACCCAGAAAAGAATCCCAGACCCCAGAGGAGGATAGAGGCACCAGAGGGAAGGGCCTGGACCTCTGAGTAAATGTGAGGGCTTGACCCATGTTGGACTGACATGAGTGAGAATAAACACTCTGGTGTTAAGTCACTAAGATCTGGCGGCTGCTGTTACAGCAGCTGCCCTGTCCTGATCAATACAGCATGGTGGTACTTGGAGATCGTATCTGAGAGCTATGATGCTTCGAGAGACTCAAAGCTTTTCAACTACAAATATATATTCAGCTCCTATTTCTGTGTTTCTCTTTATTTGACACACAATTGCCTCCTTCCTCATCTGTCCTCTCCACCTGAACCATAAGCTCCCCAAGAGCCAGGTCCTCCTCTGCCCTCTTCCTCTATTCTGGGCCCCAAAGACATAGTTTAGTGCCAGGCTTGATAGATACTGATTGATTGATTGGCTTTGCAAAATGACCAGCTGCCCAAAATTGATGTGAGGCTCAAGTGAGGTTCTGATGGTAATGTTATACAGCGTTCAGTAGGTCCTCAGCAAACAGCCCCAGAGCAGAAAAGAGCTAAATAAAGACACATGTGTTCCGGTGAAGGCTTCAGAGGGAAGGCTGGGACTCATCCCACCCCACATGCTCCAGAGTCAGTGCTCTCTGGTCCCTGACTGGCCCCAGACTCTGTCCACACAGCAGGGCAGGGGAGGGGACCCACTGCTTCTCTGAGGGAGCCCCAGTCCCAGAGGGTTTGGGCTTTGATAGGGTGAGGTGACACTTCAGAAAATCATATTCCAGAGGCTTTTGCTGCGCAAGCAGACTTCTCACCTTTGCCTTGGCGTAAAGGTGGGTGTGGGATGCCTGATATGATTCTGGGGTAAAGCTTCCCTTTCACAGCTTGAAATCTCATCTCAGGAAAGGTTAACTCCTTGTACTACATCCTACTTACGAGAGACAGGCTCTGGGGACCCAGAAGAATCCTGGAATAACATCCAAACTGCACGACAGGGCAGGGGTGAAGGCGGGCGTCCAAGTAGCAAAATGGCTCATTAACGAACTCTGAACCAGAATTCCTGGGTTCCAATTCCACCGCTGGCTACTTATTAGCTGTGAAATTTTGGACTATTTAGATTATATGAGCCTCAGTTTTCTCATCTAAGAAGTAAGATGACAGTAATAGTAAACACACTAGAAGGTTGTTGGGAAAATTAAATGAGCTGATACAAGGCAGGTACATGACACCGTACAACCACTGGGGCTTCCTCTGGTGGTGGTGGTGGTGGTGGGCGGTGTGAATTTCATGTCTTTATTCTTATGACAGCGCAAACCAATTAAAAGCTCTGATTTTATTAACTCTGTGATTGCCCTATGCATCATTGTGAATCTCTGTGATTACACGTTTGGACTTTTATGGTTACGCTTACTATGTCCCAAAAGCCAGGCAGTAAATCCTCCCTTCCTGGGGGTCAGTTGGACACCCACCGTGTTCCTCTACTTGCTCTGTGACCTGCTTTCTTTGATCCTCAATTTCCTCATCAGCAAAATAGAGAAAATGACTTTGGAGGGGTGATGAGGATAATGTGAGATCATTGTTGCCATTCGTATTGATTCGACAATTGCGCTTGTTGAGTACTTACTATGTGCCAGGCATTGTTCCATGCTACAGGGCTAGCGCAGTAAACAAAACAGACAAGAGCCCGGTCCTGATGAAATTGACATCATCACAGGGACCTCCAGATGCTAAACAAATGTGCGAAATTACGTAGCATATCAGATGGTGATAACTGTTGTGTAAAAGTAATAATTGAGCCAAGAAGGGGAAACAGAGTGAGGTGAAGGGGCAGTGCCATTTTAAATAGGATGTCCAGGGATGGCCTCGCGGAAAGGAATTTGGCAAGGCAAGGAGGCCATGTCCATGTCTCAGGGATGAGGTTTGCAGAAGGCAAGGTCAGAGGGGTGGCAGGGGTCAGTGGGGCAGGGCTTTTCTCCACATGCCCTGGGAGCCACTGGAGAGTCCTGAGCAGAGGTGGGCGTGACCTCACCTTCATCTACTAACAGAGCTGAACCCATGTGACCAGATGAGAATGCAGCCACCTTCTCCCCTCTGCAGAAGAACCCCAAGCCCTGTCCACTGGACCAGATGCTCCGCTCACTCTGCCCTCCAGCCCTCTTGAGCCCTATCAGCAAGCCAGTGCTGGCTCCCCACGCCCTCGGCCTGGGACTCTGGCCACACTCCCCTCCACACTTCTCCATCTTGACTTTTGTTTGTCTTCTGGTGTAGGCCATACCCACCTCCTCTGGGAAGCCAGCCCAGAGCCCTAACCTGCCCTCATCCCTCCCTTCCCAGAGAAACAAGAAGAAGGATCAGGGACAGGTCTGGGTATTGAAACACAGGTTCAAATCCTTCCTACTTAAAATTCCTATGCCTCGGTGCTGTTCATCTACAAAATGGAGGTAATAATAACAGATTCACCCTCATCTTAGAGGAATCCCAAAGGTTTGGTCACACGAAATGAAGCACAGGGAAGTCAGAGTTAGTGAATATCAGAGCTTTAGCGGACCTGTGCTATCGTAAGAGTAAAGACATGGAACTCACACTGCCCACCACCCTACAAGGTTCATTTCCTAAACTTCCCACTTGTTTCCCATTCAACTAAGGACTGTCCACATTTCAGAACAGGTGCTAGACCAAGGCAGGCTGCTCCTCACCAGTCAAAGTATGCTCTCCACCTGCGGAGGGGGGTAATGGGTCCATATGTGACACATCCTCGGGGGTGTGCCTGGCATGTTTGGTGAGTGTCAGCTGCCCATCACAACACATGGGAAGGCCCTCCTTCCTCCTCAGCTTGATTCCAACCTGTGAGAGAGATGCAGGTAATGACCACGCGTGTCACCAATGCCTGGTATACAACAAGAACTCAATAAATGCTCCTTGGAGGAAACAAGGGCACAGCTAGAGGTGGGTGTTTGGCCTGGGGCAGGTCTACTCTGAGCTTCCACTTCCTCACCTGTAAACGGGAGGACTCGCTCTTCCCAGTGGAGTGAGTGGGGCACCCCCAGGGCTCGTGTGCCTCAGTTGTGCACTTCACCGAGCACCCAGAGGGTTTTCTGGCAGGGCCCAGAGGACCCAGTGAGCCGCCAGAGCCAGGGCGGCATCCAGGTGAAGATGATGTGAGCTCTCGGGAGTCACAGGTGGGGCTCCGGATAAGACCCGGTGAGGCTCACTGGGGTTGGGGGGCTGCAGCAACAGGTGGGGGTGTGAGCCAAGTCGTTGTTTCTGCTCTATCAAGGATTCTGGGTTTAGTAGGTTTTCTCTGGGATCAGAGAAGAGCAAGACTCACTGGAATCCTCTCTCCCTCCATTGAACCAGTTTAGGGCAAAAGCCCCAAGAAATGCCCTGTTAGTGAGGACTTTATGGACCCTGGGCTCCTAGATAATTCCTAACAGCTAACTTACTGACTGCAGGTGACAGTTACTGAGCACATATTGGCAGAAGGTCTGCTCTGCACATCTCACATTCCATCTCACGTGAGGCCTCGCATAGCCCTTTGAGCTCAGTCTTACCAGTTATCTCCAGGGCCACACAGGTAGTAATTGCTGGAGCTGATTTTGGGCCCATGGCTGACCCCTTCGGTCCACCTGGTGGGGAACAAAAAGCACACGGGCCACCAGCCTGCGGCTCCCTGAGTCGGAGGGGTCTTGGGATGGGGGAACTCTGCTGCCCCTGGGAGCAGAAACCTGACCCTCCATCTGGTTTCTCCTCCCCCCCCCAAGTAGCTTTCTGCTGGGAGCAACCTGGTCTAATGGTTAGAGCCATGACCTCGTCCAAAGCCAGGCACCAGGGTGCAAAGCCTGGCTCTGCCCTTTGTTCTCAGGCCTCAGTTTACTCGCCTACAAGGGGAAGACCTATCTCACTGGACTGTTGTGAGGGTCTAGCAAGGGCTGTGCTTAGAGTAATGGACAGTCCATGGTTAGATCTTGGTCCCACTGGATCGCCCCCTTCGCTTAGTCTGCGGACTCCTTGCCACGTGTCTCCTCTTGCCTTATTCCTCTCTTGCTCTCTGCCTTCTCTTCATATGAGGCATATCTGTCTCGCTTTGAAAAGCTTCTCTTTGTCACTCTCCTCTCTTTGTCACTCCCTTCTGGGTCCTAAATCCTGGCTCTCTATGACATGCTGCATAAACTTAAGCAGAGGGCAGAGCAGCCATCCTGACAGGGGACACCTCAAACTTCGCTCTCTAGAAAATTCTCCTGGGGCATTCACTAAATGCAGGTTCCTGCCCCATTTCAGAGATTCTGACTCCGTAATCCAGGGTAAGCCAGGGAACCCGCATATTAACCAGCACCTTCTTCCGGCACCTTCCACATGAGATAGGGTGGCTCTTGGGGTGCACTGTGAGAAGCACTGCAGTGGCCCCAGTTTCTACAGTTTCATCTGTAAAATGATAGTCAATAGAACCCACCTCCCAAGGTTGTAAACTTGAAGTGATTTGTCTGGAAAAGAAGACATGCATCTTCATTTTTTTCTGTCATAGCTTTTGTAGGATTTCCTTTGTCTCTGTCTTTCCCATCCTCTGTTTCTGGTGTTTACATATATCTTTCTCTCTCCTCTCTCCCCACCCTCTACCTGAAAGTGAACCCGATTCCAGAGCTAAAGTGGAAGAATTAAAAAAGAGTGACCTTTCTGTAGCGGCTGGGGGCCCCAAGACCATCCAAAAGGCCTGTCAGTTCCTCCTTGCCTAGCACTCTGGCCGTCCCCAAAACAGAGCCTCTCCCGCCCCGGCAGCCCCCACAGAGGCGGCAGCAAAGCCCAGGGAAGATGGGGGGAGCCATTGTGCAGGAATGGCCCTGCTGCTATGGAAACCAGTGCTTAGGAACCGCTCAGAGCAGATCCATTCGGGGAGCAGCCCGGCCTTGGGGGAGGGGGAGAGGCCAAACTGCACCCTGGACTCTGCCCTCCCCATTACCCGCCCTGTGATGCTGGGCAAGTCACTTAACCTCTCTGAGCCCTTTCTCCCGCACCAGCCTGGGGAGCAGCAGCCCCCATTAGTGATGGGTGATAACGGCCGCAATGACTGAACGCCGCTGCGGCTTTCAAGCCTAAAGACACGTCAAATTGCCGTTTGCTTTCATTACTGCGAGCTCGAAATATTCTAGTGCCAGCTTGCTGTGCGACCTTGTGCCACCCGAGGGCTACCCAAACGATTTCCATGATAGAATTTCGTCTCACGGAGGCGCAGGTCCACTCTGAGTCACCCTCGAACACACACGCACACAAACCAGCCACCGAGCTAAGCTGCCCAAACATCCTGTGACCCCAGTTGAGAGGAAGGGAAGAGGTGGCTCCATCTGCAGCCGCAGTGCTTGCAGCTGCTGCCACAGTGTCAGGCCCCTATCTGAAGGTGCGTTGCCCATTCTCCCTCCTCCCCAGCACTCTGGGCTCCTCAGGCCTTCAGCCCTAGGTCTGGGAGCATCAGCCTGAGGCCCAAGCACCGGCCTGAGAGGTTGCCCTGTCCCCCTGCTCCACGGCATCTGTGGACTTGGTCCACAGAGAGGTGGGAACTGCCTGCCCTTCCCCCACTGAGAAGCACCAGGCCAGGGCTCTCCCTGTCTATGCCTTAACTTCCTCTTACACAACCCAGTGCAGCCCCAGTCCCACAGAGGTCTGGCCGTCCCCTGAACGAGCCTCCTTGTCTTAGCACACATTCCTCCAGAACTCTCTGGGATCCTCTGCATGCCATCCTTCCTCACTGACCTACCTAACTGTGACTTGCCCAAGATCACACAAGAAGCATGTGACTCAAGAGCCTGGGTCAAATCCCAGACCTCGGGGGGACACTGAGTCCAGCTGCTCCAAAGAGCATCCATGCATTCACTCAGCCAGCCAGGCGTCTGTTTGTTTGTTTTCCCAGCAAACATTTATTACGCCCCAGGCAGGCTGCTCAGTGCTGGGGACCCAGCCATGAACAAGGCCAGTAGAGAGAGCGTGCAGCTCAGAGAAGCAGACAGATGCTAAACAAGTAATTACAAGTGTGATGGATGCCACAAAGGAAAAGCAGGCAGAGCTCTGAGAGGGGACCAGGAGGGGGCCACTGACGTCTCCCATTTGTACAAGGGTTTACCCCAGGCGTGGTCCTCTAGCCCCTTGCATCCACACCTCTGGGAAGCCTGTTTCAGTCCCCCAGGCCTGCAGACCAGCATCCCTGGGGAGAGATGCTTCCTTCTGAACATGCACCCAGGGAAGGCTGCTCTGAGGTGTAAGGACCACAGTTTAAGGGGCCTGGATGGATTGGGGGGGCAGGGGGCACATGTTTTCTAATCACCCAGCACGTCCTGAGCTCATCTGTCTCTTGCTAGGACTCTGGATAGAGAGAATAACCTCAGTTTACAGAGAAGTCGAGACCCAGAAAAACCCAGTGACTAGTGAGTGCAGAACAAGGATCCTAGATCTCCAGAAGGCTCCTCAGAGATGGGCCTGCTCCTGGAAGTCCAGCACACAGCCCTGCTGAATGTGAAAGAGAAAACAACCAGCCCCCAGTGAGGCCCAGATTACTGATTACAAGGCGCTACCTGTACTTCACAATCAAGTACTTTCGTAACAAGTGATAAGAGGCTCTGGCATCAGAACAAGTGGGTATTTGATCAGCTGCCTCTGTTTACCAGCTTTGTGGCCTCAGGCAAGTTGTCTAACCTCCCTGAGCTCAATTACCCCATCTGTAAGATGGAGATGATGATGGCGGGACTGTCTCCAGGGTGGTTATAAGGAGCCTCACTCCTCTGGCTCCATCACCCTCCCTCTCTCTCTCCACTCCTCCACTCCAGTTGCTCTGGCCTCCAGGCTCTTGTCAGACATGCAAGGTCCTCTCTTGCTCAGAAGCTTTGCACATCGTATTCCCTCCAACTGAACACTCTTCCTGTAGATATCCACATGTCTCTCTCACTCCACTGCACCCTCTGGGTCTCTGCTTAAGTGTCATCTTTTCAGAGAGACACTCACTCATCCTTCCAGTAAAAATAGCCCCTGCACCATCACCTGTGTCCCACCGTGTCACTTTATTTTTCTCCCTTAGGCTGCCTCCAGCTTTTACATCTCCCTGTACAAGAAAATAGACTGCAGAGGGGCAGAGACATTGTCTTGTTCGCTGCTGTTTCCCCAACCAAGGCACTTGACCGGTGCCATCCAAGTTACACAGCCTCATGCATCCCATGGCCTGCACAAACCCTGAGAGCCCAGCGCTCCACCTTTAGCCTGGCAGACAGCAAGGCCCAGGCAGAGCATGTCCACTGCTCTGCAAACCTGCTCAGGCCTCCTTGACCACAGCTAAGGCTCTGGGGACAGGAGCAGTGCATCCCCCGGGGCCCCCTCCCTGAGTGCCCTGGAACCAGCAGGCAGTGGAAAACCAGGCCCAGGCTTGGCAGGCGATTGGCTAGGGCTCAGTGCCGAGGGGCATGGACCTGCCAACCTCACTCCCCAAGCAGCAACTGATTGTCCCAGCAGCTCCCAAGTCCCCTGAAGACCTCCCAGTGGCCACTCTCTCACAGGGACACTTGCTCTGAAAGGGGCCGGCCTCCTGGCTGCTTCCGGCCACAGACGGGGCATGGTGGTCTCAGCCTCGCAGGAGATCCTAGGACTTCCGGGCCTGCTGGGAACTCACAGCCTGGTGCCTGGCAGAGAGCAGGCGAGGACAGATTCTGGGGCCCACTGGCCTCTTGGCATTTGTATGCAGGTGCTGGTCCCGTGCATGAGCCGGAATCCATCACCAGAAAATAAAACACTCAGGGAGAGCAGGCCTCAGAAGACAAACGGCGGCCGGGCGAAGTTAGCACCCGCCCTGGCTTGCCGAGCCCTCAATGCGTCTCCCTCTCAGGGGGCCTCTGGATGGAGAGAAGCCTCCAACCCTCTCAACAGGGAGGTGGGATCCCCGTCTTCCAGAGAGGGGACTGGGGCACAGAGAGCAGAGGCCACTGGCCCAGAAGAAGGAAGCCAGGATTAGAACCTAGGCCTCCTGTCTCAGAGGAGGGCTTTGACTTCTCTGCCACTTCCCAAACTTCCCTGCTGGTGCAGCGGAGTGGGGTGAGGAGAGGCTGGTTACAGGAGTGTTTCCATGGCAAAGCTCTCCTTTATGCCCCTGTGGAGCAGTGGGTTTGCATTTGGCCTCAGACCACCTATATCAGAGCAGAATGCAGGGAACTTGCTAAGAAGCTTATTCCCAGGCCCACCCCAAACCTGCTGGGCTGACTAATCTGCCTTTCTTAGACAATTAATTCTGATGCTCATCTGAGTTTGGGAACCAGTGACTTAGAAATAATTCTGACCTAGACAGAACTAGCGTCTTATTTCTTAGATGAATAGACCTTTAAAAGTGCAGCTTATGTGGAATGTAGAGGTGATAATAAGAGCTACTATTTATTGAGCATTTACTATGTGCCAGGTAATTTTCTAAGTGCTTTATGTTCATTTCACTCTCAAAACAACCCCACTGAGGAGGTAATATGATTATTTTGCCCATTTTACAGATGAAAAAGGTGAGGCCCAGGGAGTGTAAGTTCTGTTATACAATGTTGCACTGCTAGAAAGTGGCAGAAATAAGATCTGAACCCAGATCCACTCAGGTGGGGGCTCCAGAGCCTGTCCTCTTCCTGCTAAGCTAAAGTCAGGCTTTTATCTTCAACTGCTGCCCCACCCCCAACCCCAGCCTTGTCCTGAAGTCCAGGTGGAAAAGGAAGAAGCAGGCACAAGTTGCCAAATTCAAAGAGATGTTCACTAATGGAGGGGGATTCATAGGCTGGGGAAGCACAGGAAAGGGAGCCCAACCCAAGATGGGGAGCTTGTTGGAAAAGCCTCCTTAGAGGAGGATCTGACGGGTGAGCAGGAGTTTGCCAGGCAGAGTGGTGCTTTTACACAAAGACAGGGAGGCATATTCAGAGAAGTTCCATGACAGACACATGGTCGTGGGGCAGCACTTGATGACTGAGGCCTTCAAGTCCTGGTTATGGAGTTGGACTGCACCCCAAGGACACCTGAAATGTCCCTGAAGGGTGGAGGAAGAGCATCACATTCAGAAAGCCTGGCCTATGGCATGAAGAGGCTGGACTGAAGTCAAAGAGTCTGCAGGCAGGAAGACCCTCGGCTCAGGGAGCAGGCGGGGCTGAGCTGGAGCAGCCACAGTGAGAATGGGGCAGACGGATTGACTGGGGAAACACCTCTGAGACAGACCAGGTGGGACTGGGTGGCTATGGAGAGGAAAGGAGGCAAGCATAGGGTGTGTGAACGTTCTGGAAACCGGGAGTTCAACGACACAGGAGAAAAGCAGGTACGGGAGATGGTGAGGTCCTTTACAGGCACTTTGAGTCTGAGGGGTACCGGGAGGGGCATTCAGGAAGGTGGTGGGGATACTTGAGTGGGAGTCTTCAGGGCGGGCAGAGCTTCAAGGCTGATGATGGGTGAGGTCACCCACTGAGAGATGAAGTGGGGGCAGACTTAACCCACACGGGGTGTCCCACCCAGACTAGACCTCTCCCTGCAGAGTGTCACACCCTTTCTCTCCCTACATTCCTGACTGGGGAAGGGGGAGGGAGATGGATGGGAGGGAGAGACATCACTTGTCCTGCTGTCTGTCCTCTGAGACTCACATCGTCATTTGGAGATCTGTCGTCTTCTCTCTGGTAAACTTCCAGGTGTCTTGTACATGATTGAGGCACCAAACGTGAATACAACAGGTGATTCTGGTGGTGTGGGGTCACGGGATGGAAGTTTCCAAGGGAGCAAACTCTGGGGGCTCTCCTACCCCCACTGCACCCCCACACTCATAC